CAAATAGCAAGTGGTCAGAAGCCAAACCTGGATATTTTTTTTAACAGTATCCACTGATTCAACATGAAAAAAGAAACTCTTTTCTACGGAGTTGACTAGCTGGATGCACGTAACATGCTAAACTCTAGACCTGGATTAACAAAGCAAAGTTCATGTACCATGCTGCGCTCCCACACAAAGCATGTTATGGCTTTATGTAATGGCCTGATTCACCTAATATGGTAACACAATAGCTGGATTTCTATGTGTGGCACCACAAACCTCCCCATCCCATTTCAGTCTAGTCTAATGGGTTGTGTAAACCTACCCAACCGAGTCTAGTATAATGAACCCTTAATTTAACAGGCCATACAAGGTGAGTGTATGTTTGTTACTCTGGAATGTCATTATATAAATGGTGCAAATAACGCCATTGAACAGAGGCCTTGATGTTTAGTATTGACATTTGCTGAGTGTCAGGCCTTGTTTGTGAAGTTGAATTGTAGCATCAGAAGGGACTGTTGCTTGTGTACTACCCTCCCAATTGGATACTAACCTCCTATCAGAATTGCTTGAATCTATGGCTAGGTTGGCAGTGGGGTTCCCCAGACTTACACTCCTGGAGGACTTCAGTATGCCGTCCCTTCAATCTGGCATGGACTTGGAGATGCCTTGGGAGTTCATGACTGCCATGGCAACCATGGACCTGACCCAAGTTATCTCTGGCCCAGCTCCCTGCAGAGGCCACACCTTTGTCCTGGCTTTTATTTTGGAGCAATATGACATGATTTGGAGTTGGGGATGTTACCATTAATCCCTTGCCATGGCCAAATCACTCCCTGTTGCCTTTGGGGTTCTCTGGTGCTACACCACCTGCAGGGAGGCAGGATCTACTCCAGACACCTGATAGACCCTATTTGGTTCCAGAGTAAGCCTGGGATTGTTCCTGGGCTCTGGTATGTGGTTCAACTGAGGCCTTGGTTGCCACTTGGAATGAGGGGGTGACTTTGGCCTTCAATCAGATTGCACCTATGCAGACTGTCTATGCATATGGATCCTGGAGGGGCCCCTTGTTTTCAGAGGAGTCCTGGGTGATGAAACATCATGAGGGATACCTAGAATGCCACTGGAGGAAAATGAAGAGTGAGCCCAACCAAACACAGTTAAGAGTCTTTCTAAGGATTATCTCTTGGCAATAAGGGTAGCAAAACATTGTTATTTCTCAACCATTATTGTGACCTCAGAGTGCTAACTGATGGCCCTATTCAGGGTAACCCAGTCACTCCTGTCTAAGGAGGGGCCATGATAATACTTGCAAGACTGTTGTTGCTAGGCATCCATGACATAAAGTTGGAATTAGGTTGTACAGGTCCACTGGAGTTCCTCAAGGACAGTCTGGCCCAGTTATCTGGGAAGAGTTGGAACCTGTCAGACCTAATGAAGTGGACAGGGTTCTCAATGTTGTTTGGGTGCCTATCTTAGATCCCTGTTCCTCCTGGTCTCAGCTTCTGCTCAACAGACAAGTGGCAGCCATGGCTGGGGCGCCTTTGCAAAGGTTCATCTTGTGCA